TTTTTTTATTTTTTTTTTATTTTTTTTTTTTTTTACCTGGTATAGTATTTTTGATTCTGATCTGCTGCATTTCCAAGTTCAAAGTCTTATTGATAATCACAAATGTAAACTTGAAATTTATCTAGACAAGAGAAAATATCTCTCTTTATTACGGTGCTTGGAACATTTTTCCAATGCTAGCTTTTATTAAGACCAGCTTGAAATGCTATAAGGCAATTGTAAACTGAAGGTATTGGTACATTAAGATTTTGTAGAGATGATCTAGAAACTGTGACATGATTTTTTTTAATACTTCTCTGTCAAACATAGGTTTCAGAAGTTTTTGAGGGAAAACTTTTTACATGCAAAATATTAAATATTAATATTAAATAATCCCTCCTGCTAAATTTTATATAGAGAAATTTGAATTTGTTACACCATTCTTCATGTTTTTAAGGATGCAATATTTGGATAAAATTGGACTCAGAAAGGTTCTGAAAACATTTCATATATCTAATTTTTGCATATATTTTCTTAATTTCCAACCCTGGTTGTTCATATGTTGGACTCTGTATTACTCATGCATTTGTTTGTTTGATACAAAGCGTTGTTATTATTAGTGTTTTTTCAAAATAACGTGCATTAAAGAAAATAAAATCAAAATGTTGACATGATTAGAAAGGGCGAATGTATTTCATGCATATGCAGCTTTAGGCCTAGAGAGCTGAGCAACACTGGCCTCCAACCAGACTCCCTTGAACTGACATAAGGAAAAACACAGCAGGGTGGAAAGCTGTAAACTCAGAACAAGTTTGTGACTTGCATGCATGAACAGATCTGTACTGATTTATTATTAATAATAAGCTAATCCTTAAATATAAAAGAATTTCAAGACATACACATAATTATATATAATGAAGCAACTAATCCTAAATAGTTATTAGTGCATGTATAATACATAAGGATGGAAAAAACAGATAGACTAAATAAAAATGAAAGCTCATCCTTCTTGTTAGTTACAATAATACGTGGAGACATATAGCTGAGTGCAGATGAGAAAACATAAACAAAAACTATTGGTAACAGAATAAATATACTCACAAGTGACTCTTTCTCTAACTTCCTGTTTTCCTTTCAACCAGGAAGAACTACTCAAGAGGTATTTAAATGCCTTCAAAATAAGAGCTTTGAAATAAACTGGAAGCAGTGACTATGATAGCTTCTAATGTAACTTTTCATTGACCAATTATAAGACTGAAAGTTAATCTCATTATAAGATCTGAATACATTTCATTTATAAGGTAAAATGAAAACGTTTATCTTAAAAAAGGCTTAAACTAAGTGAGAAATAAATACTAGATAGAAGTAGTATGTTACTCTCAATACAGTTTAAAGAATTACTTGTTGTAATAGCCTCTGAGTAAAAGCTACTGGTACCATATGCCTGAATGCAGGAATTTAGATACATCTCTAATCTTTATTTATCTCTAAGAAGAAAGGAATTTAGATCAAAGTAATTGGCGAAATAAGCCTTTGTTAACTCATCAAATCAAAGTATATCAACAAAATGGGATTGATCAGTAAAGAAAAAGAATACCCTGCCCCCTAAATAGCTTTCTCCTTTTGGCTGTAATAACTTCTGCTTCATGCCTCCTATAGCCAGAGATGGCTAGAGTACCCATAATTGTAATTAAGAAAAAGTAGCACTATATTATTATATTTTCACTCAGGTAAAAGTAAAAAATTAAAAAAGAAATTATTTAAGTAAGAGTAAAAAAGTATTTGTCAAAAAAGCTACTCAAGTACTGAGTGATGATCCACTTACTACACATCAACATAACTGATTTTACTAAATGGTTTAAAAATGAACAAAATGCTAAGTGATATGCAAATTATAATGTTTAAAATAATACGATAGAAATAAACATATAAAATACAGTAATTACACAAAGAAATATTCAGATGTGATGAACACCGTATTCTTTTTTTTTGTTATAAAGGTTAAAAAGTCAATAGGTAAATTATGTAGAATAGCAAAAATTACAGTATACTGTTTAGTCTATTTTCATCCAACCTTCAAGTGAAACAGCAGATTCAGTAGATGGAAAATAACATTTATTGGTGCATATTAGTTTAAAACAAGCCTGTTTTCATTAAGTGAAGTTACTCACAATGGATGGAGTAGCCAGAAATGTTACTCAAGTAAGAGTAGTGGTACTTTAACATATTTTTACTCAAGTAAAAGTATAAAGTACAATGCTGAAAAACACCTAAAAATTATTTTTTGTCCAAAAAGTTACTCAAGTAATTGTAATTGAGTAAATGTAACTAGTTACTGCCCAACTCTGCCTGTAACCAACTACCTGTGTGGGAAAAATCTTTGTTCAGACACCTCAAATCTCCTTCTAACATCTCATAGCTGTGAGATGTTGGAAGGATTTATTTTGTGCACCGTCAGCAAAAATCATTTTTGAATTATTAATTCGAAAACTTTTCATGTCTTAACTATTAGCCAGTCCAAGGTGGGTTAATGTATATGTTATGTATCAACTTCAGATAAAAGCATCAATGAGCTTGCAAACCCTGCAACAGGAAATCACCACAAGCCATGATGACTCTATGGCTCAGAGTCGATATAAAGTTCATCTCTGGAATAATTCATTTAGTCTATGCTAAACATGTTGACTCTTCTTGTGTTTGAATATTTCTTGTGTTGGAATATTTAAATTCAACTGGACTTCATTTTTCCGGAGAAAATTATTCCTGAAATCTTGGTTTCTGTCTGCATTCCATCGAGCAAACTTTAGTCTGACCTTGTTGTTTTACATAGATCAAAGGTTTCCTCCTTTCTCACCTCCTATTAATATTCAACCTGTTAAATCTACTTTAGGTTTGTACAGGCATTCACTTAAAAAAAATGTCTAGAGCCTGGAATAGGCCTGATGCTGATATTCGAAGGCGTTTTCTTTTAGACTTTAATGCTCTGCAAGTACATGCAAGTAAATGAAAAAAGGTTACTCTTGTTAGCCCAAAAGCAGATCTATTGCTACCTATTGCTAGACATCATCCTGATCAAATGACCTCCTGTTTTTCACCGGGGTGAAGAAAGCGGATAAATATGGCTGCATACAGGGCAAATCTATTGAGGGCCATAAAAACCTAATATTACTGGTTAGAGCTACAGTGGGCTGGTTTAGAAATCAAGCAAATCCATGTGTTAGAGAAGTCCAGTCAAAAGCTAGACTAAAAACCAATTGAAAATTTGCATCTTGAAAATCTTTGTTTAAAGACGCTACTTGCTCAGCCTGACAAAAAAATTTAATTTCTTTCCAGATTAACATGGTAGAAACTAACAGCAAAAGATTTTTCTCTTAAATTGCAGCAACATACCTGTAAAGTTATGACTCATTGGGGATGAATAAAAATACTCAGAACACCACATTTCTATTTGCAAAAAGCTTGAAAACTATGAATAATTTTCCTTCTGTTTCCTTTTATCCTTTTTTTCATTTGTACGGTATATTGCAATTACAATAAACATAGATTGCAGTTCATGGTTGTAATGTGAAAAAATAAAAAAAAAAAATAGTAGAGGGGGCAGGAATACTTTTGAAACACGTGATGAATAATACAATTACATAGTCAAAGGCAAATACAAATGTTTTATAAAAAATTTGTGAAGCAGGCTGTATTTTTAAACAGTCAATTACAATAGAATCCATAACAAAAAAAATAACTTTTAAGATATGTATCTTCACGCCCCAACCTCTAATTATTATCAAAGAACCTGAAACTGTGATAATCAAAATGCTGCATGTTTAAGTGAGATTTCTGCTGCTAAAAATTAGAAATGAATGAAAAATACCTGTTTCTGTTGCAGTGTGTTCATAGATCGGTGTAGGTTTGTCACTTTAAGAGACCTGGATGTTGATGCCACAGTCCAGAGTTTTGTCATTCTCCAGACTTGGCGGAGACATTGCATTCTAATTGGCTAATATAAAAGAAATAAAACAGTGATTTATGTATAATTTAATGTAGTGTCATTAAAAAAAAACTTAAACATGATAATTATGTGCAAAGGAAGAAATTAATAGTGTATAGATAAACAAAAAATGTCAGAGCACATGTATTATTAGATACATGTGTGGATTATAGGAATATAATAATATAATAAAATCATCTCCTCTGGTGTGATTTCTATTTAAAATTTATAAGCATGTCCAAAGAGAAAGTACAAAAAATATGTAACAATTTAGGAAGAGTCCGTGCTAAACTCACCTATTCACCCAGATTTGCTCTTGGCTCTTTTGAGTTCTGACTGTGTAGAACAAACATGGATTACTTATAAGATCTCAGATAAAATGTAACCAGATTTTGAGGATGTCCAAGTTTTATCTTTAACCAGGTTGGAGGCAGCAGAGTGTACTATCTACTCCTTATAAGAATAAAAAGAGAAAGAACCCATTAAACTCAGTGACCGAACTGATGAAGCAACAAGGTGGCTGGTGAACAACAACAAAAAAAAAGACTCTGATCAAAGGTCATGAGCTTGTATGCTGTCTATAAAGAGACGTTACACATGCTTAATTATATCAGTACACTTATTTAAAGGTAATTCGTTTTAAATGTTTCACTCTAGGTCGATTTGTGAGACTGGGTTGCAATTAATCACACAGAGAAAGTTAAAGCACACTGTGGCAGAGCAGTTAGCTTCGGTGAAACTGATGTTTTAAGGCCTCAAGTGTCAAAAACAGGGAACTAAAAGGCAAAACATAAATACAGCAAGGAGAGGCTGGTAGAAATTTGGAGATTTGAACTTTATGAGACACTTTTGGCAGAAATTATAATTATAATCACATCCTGCATATCTGTTAAAAAAAAATAACTGTTGGATATTTAGCAACTATTGAATCTGAGAAATAAAGGTGATAAAAGATCAGAAAAAATCAGCTAAATCAAAGCTGAAAATGTCTAACTTCCCACTAGGTGGCAATAAGACATTAACTTGAAAGCAGCACAACCCCTACCTTAGCCTTTTAATGAACTATCTCTGCTTCTATTTAAGATTTGTTGACTATATTTACAAGAGTGAACTTATCAGAAATAAATATAAAAAACAAAATGGAAGATACACTCATCTAAATCAAAACTAACTTTAGTTTAGATTTGCCATTAAGTCTTAGAAATGTAAACCCAAAAAGAATACTAAAAGAATTTAAACAATTAAATCTAGATTTTTTTTTTTTTTAAAGGATGGAAGCACTTTTAGATGAAATATCAACAAGTGTGTGTTTAGCCTTATCAAATCATATTAATAAAACCTATGCTGTATCCTTAACAAAAGGATACAGCATAGATTTGCTTTATGGTTTATGCCCCATTAACGGTAGAAGGAACCTTCTGCAAGATGTTGCCTATGTTCAGTGTATTGTGTGTAATAATATGACTGAGGAGTCAATTCTAATGTGACTCCCTGAGTGTGCTTGCATGTGCTGGAGCATTAGGTAAGGCCATGTGTGCTGATCGTTGGCTTACCTGCATTTAACTGTTGTATAATCCCTCCACCTCCCTGTTCCTCTTAACCCATCTTCATCTTTTCCCCTCCCATCCCACTCTTCTCTGGTTCCTCCTTCCTCCAACTCACCTGCCATAACCTTCTGTTTCAGCTCTTTAAGTATCTCCAGTGGCTCTATGCCTCGAGATGTGCTGCCCCGTGACGGAGGCTGTAAACTTGAATTGGCCAGAAGTCATTTAGACCTTCATTAAGCCATTTCTCCATCTGCTGCAGCCTGCAGCAGCAGGGGGTGTTTAAGCAAAGAGCTGACTCATCCAGTACACGCACCACCTATATCTCTATTTTACTGCACTCTGTTTTGAAATCATGCAGAGATTTAATGAACAACAAATTGTAATAGCAAATATTTTAAGGAAAACAAATAAATACCAACTTTTTTGCTGTCTATCAAAAGAAACACTCAAGTACCTGTAAAATTAGACTGCTACTTATATTTTAGAATCAAAAGTTTCCTGTCTGCAGCTTTCAAAACTTATGCTTGGATGGGATAGTTCTCATAGTACCGACTGACAGTCTTTGAATAAACTCTGTAATAAGCTGCTGATGTATGTGAGTCTAAAGACCCATCCTAACTCAGCTTAACTTAAACCAAAAAGCCTACCATATGAGCAGATAAATAAGAAACAATAAAACAAAAGTAAAATCCTTTTTATATTCATTCTGTGGTGTTTGCTTCTTAACTAAACATAGTTTGTTCTCAGTTTCAGAAGTTCAAGCTTATCAAAGACACTATAGTCTCTTCTTCGCAAATAAATAAAAGTTTGTGCCTAAAATAGCCCATTTTTGTCTTGTTGATATTTTTAAAGATGAGTATTTCAGTGATTAGGTTTTATATTTCGGGTTCTATGCATCGAAAGTTGTGATGAAACACATTCTGTTTTAAATTTAAGCGTTCACAATCTTTAATGTGCAAAAGTGCATCAAATTGTAGTTATAAATATATAAAAAAAGACAAAACTACCTGCTTATGTCACAGTGAAATGCACTCATTTCACTGTGACAATCATTTTCAAGGTCTCGTTCTGTGTTAATAAGTATTTTGGTCATTGTAACTAAACGTGGACTAAAACTGTCCCCATTTCAACAATCAGAACTTATATGAAGCTTAGAAACACAAAATATCCATTATTACCTCCTAGCCAATGTGCTTCAATATCTAATCAAATCCACTCAACACAACACCTTCATCCACTGCTGGGCATCATATAATTTTATTGCAAACATACATTAATCAAAGATCTACCATTCATTAGTTAGATAACCAGACATCATAGCTGTTTTGCAGCTTTAAACAGCGGGTTGAAGGTTGTTAACAAAGTTAACATTAGACAGGGGGTTGAAGTGCTGATGACAAAGATTTAAGCTGTTAAGCTTAAAGGGTTTATGTTCTAATTTCTGCTTAAAAAATGTCAACAAATTAAATCAACAGTAACAGGTCTTAATGAAGATTTCTGGAACAGGTCTATAGGTAACACTTAAAAGCATGTTTGTTCTAGTTTATGCAATATTGCAGATATAACTGCCGACTTATTTGTGATAAAAAAAAAAATAAATAAATCTTTTTTTTTATATGCAGAAAGGTTTTATGACTCCTTAGCAGTAGCTCTAAGCTAAAAACCTCTGGACTGGCAGAATCAGATATTTGCACACTCTGTTCACTTAACACCGCTGACGTCTGCTTCCAAACACCCTGCCTTCCTGAGTCACAAAATCCAACTATCCCCTTCATCTGTTTACTTGGCAAACTAGAAAAACTTAAACAGAAACACACAAAAAAAATCCCAATACCTTTTCTCCTAGCCTTTGACTTCCACCAAAAAAACACCATTACTTAAGTTAAAAAGCATAAAAAAACAATGGCTAGACTTTCTCATACAACCGATTTCAATAGAACGACAATCAGTAGAAATTGTCAGGTTGTGTGGAGGTTTGAAGATAACCCTAATACAGCTGAAGTGGTTACTTGCAGATTTGATCATCCAAAAGGTGGCAACTGAGGCAAAAATCCAAAAATAACAAAATACAGCAAACCCCCCGCCTCCCAAAAAACCACAAGAGACATCAGGGAAAACACACATGAGGACCAAGAAACATTGAGAAACCAGCAAACAGTGACTGACTGACAGAACAAAGACTGGGGTAATGAACTGATTGGGGGCGGGTGTATAATACTTGAAACTTGCCCATAAATAACTATAAACTATGTGACCTGTCTCGAATTATTCTAGCCTCTCAAAACCCACCATTTTAAAGAGTTTAAGTCTAATAACTCATGATGCATGAACATTACACCGGTAAAATGTTTACCATATACCATACAGATATGTTAGACATTGTTGGAAAGATAAGATTCTCCACAATTCAACTACCAAGTTCATTTTATGGACATAGCGAGCACCAAAGCACAATTAACACAGATATAGCAGAATGTCAAAATGTAAAGATGGCAAAGCAGCCACAACAAGCAAGCATGTCTTTATTACTGCTGTCCCAAAAAAAAGACCTATTATCTTCGAGAGTTAAAAAAAACAACAACTTTGAGTCCGTCATAGTCTTGCTTCTGTTGTGTTTTCTTTTGAGTATTCAGTTTCACTTTGTTCCATGTTTTCTAGTTTTAGTGTTTTAATTCTTATTTTGTTGTGTTTTCTGGTTATTTTCAGTTTCCAGGTTTTTAGTTGTTGCCCTCCGCTGCCCTCTTGTGTTATCCTTTTTCCCTAGCTCCTTTCCTGTTTCTGCTCTGTTCACACCTGCTCCCAATCTGCTCGTCAGTCCTCTCTTTGTTTCAGTCTCCCATAAATACTCTCTCTGTTCAGTTCTTCAGCGCTGGTTCCTCATCTAACTTCCTCCAACTGCGTCTCTCTGAGTCTTCCTCCTCTTGGTAGTTTCCCCCCCGATGTCTCCATGGTTTCTGGTTTGTTTGACTTTCTTTTCATGTTTTGATTTTTGGATTTTTGGATTTCTGCCTCCGTGTTCAGTTGTTTGCTTTTTCATCATTAAATCATCAAGAAACTCACCTCTGCCTCCCTGCCTTTGCATTTGGGTCCACAAACCTCAACCAAATCCTGACAGTCATGTTTCAACTAATGCAGCTTGGGCTGTGTTTTACTCGCGCAAGGTGTTAGCTTTAAAATAATGTATAACACGTGTAATTTGGGCTTACAGTTTCTAGGTTATTTGCTTTTCCATTTGGGTATGCAAAATAGGCAAATATCTCCCAAAATGAGGCGGATGTTCTAGAATACATATCTACGCTGTGACACTGTACTTCACAGTTTTTCTTCATCTGACAAGTATACGGTATTTTGTTTAGCCCTTGTTTTTTTGTTTTTTTATAAGTATCCCAGTTTGTTTACCTGTCTGTACTACTTGTTTTGTAAGGAAAATAAAAAAAAAACAACCAAAACCCTTTTTATTACTTACACTGTTGTATAGAGCAGCAAGCCTCCCATGTCTGCTGCTGTGAATGGCAATAATAGGGTCCATGCTTACTGTGGGACTCTATTTTATCCCGCTGAATTAAAAATAATCTGAGTTTTAGCTAGTTAAATATGCAATAAGTGTGCAAGGCTGTCATGTCAATAGGAACTAACCCTCAGTGAGGTTTACCTTATATAGTAGCCCTGAGGTCTAACTGTTTATCTGAGTATCTGATAGAAAGTGGAGACTGTTTCTTATTAGCAGCGAACACCTACTTTTCAACATAATGCACCTTGAATTATATTTCATTCGAAAGTTGGATGATAACAGCATTTATTTTCCCTTTGGCCTCAAAAACTATCATGAAAGTTAGCAAAT